TAGGTGTTTTTATTTTATCTTACAGTCCTCGAAATCTAAATGTGGGGGGAGGGATCGCTTTTTTATTTAATCATGGTATTAAGGTCAATAATAATGAATTATCTTCTCTCATATATATGACGCTTATTTTATGACTCGCGGACTGCTTCTTAATGGACTGCTTCCTAATAAGCGATTTTGGTATTGAGAGTATATTACAAATTAAATAATTCAAAAGAAAGCATGGTTCAAAATATAATTCCCGATAACTACGCTAAATAATATATATATTTTTTTTTATATTGCGCTTCGGGTAACAAATTCAAAAATGAGCCATAATAATGACCAAAGACATCTTAAATTGCGCACCAGCGGGACGTTAACTAAATTCATTCTAGTTGTGTCACCCTTGGGGGTACGTGTTTTTGCCCTAGATTATTCTCGCACCTTAAATCCAAGGGACGTCTAGAGGCGTATAGCTACCATTAGTACCACCATAGGCAGCCTAATATTTTTGCCGCCCTTCGTTTCACAATGCAAACTCTGCATTCGTCCGAAAATCCCGCACATCTATATAAAGAAAAAGTGACCCCTGAGTGAACAACCTCACCCTCCCCCTTTCTGTGCCGATGGCATGGGCGTAACTAGAGGTTTTTTTTGCGTCAAGGGACATGATTCATTTTTTACGCTCCCCAAATCAAAGCCCATTTTGATGCCCCTCTGCCACCCTTTAGCTACGCCTCTGGCCACATGGCCACTGGAAACCCCCCCCCCAACCCAATTAAAAAAGCAACTTTAAATGCCCCGGGGGTGGGGAATGTCTGAAAGAAACACTGATTGCCATCATATCGATAGGATGACTGGAAGTGGTTGGATTGGCCTTCCGAAGATATTTCAGCCTCAGAGAAACGCACCAACAAAAGTGAAGTTAAAATAAAGGAATTAAAAAATTTAAGAAATAGAAATGGAAGGAAACTGTTGATCACTAGTGAGAGAGTATTTGATTGCTTCATTACGGTGACATGGTACCAAAAAATCTGAAATAATTCTTTTCATCCTTCAATCCTTCACTCTAGTTGGTGTATTAGTGCAGGAAATCAGATCCGTGATAGATACATGTTAAGCGCTTCTGCTGTCACGTCATCTGATTAGGGGTGAGACTGGGGATGGGTGGTTTTGTCTATCATGACATGAATAAAAATGTATTCTTAAATTTATTTTGATTTGTTTTGATGTAAGTAAAAAAAAAAAAATCTTCCCCGGGAATGAGGATGCTTAAGTGGTATAGAACAAATATGGGAAATATTGAGACCATATTGAATGTTAAAAAAGATGACATATTCTGGAATGTTCATCGGGAGCTGTGCAACTCTTTTGTTGTTGTTGTTTTTGTTGTTTTTGTTCAGGATCGATGCAAACACCAGACATCACAAAAACAAACTCAAGTCTATGCTGGTTTTGTTGTTTTTGTTCAGGATCGATGCAAACACCAGACATCACAAAAACAAACTCAAGTCTATGCTGTTTTTGTTGTTATGTTCAGGATCGATGCAAACACCAGACATCACAAAAACAAACTCAAGTCTATGCTGGTTTTGTTGTTATGTTCAGGATCGATGCAAACACCAGACATCACAAAAACAAACTCAAGTCTATGCTGGTTTTGTTGTTATGTTCAGGATCGATGCAAACACCAGACATCACAAAAACAAACTCAAGTCTATGCTGGTTTTGTTGTTATGTTCAGGATCGATGCAAACACCAGACATCACAAAAACAAACTCAAGTCTATGCTGTTTTTGTTGTTATGTTCAGGATCGATGCAAACACCAGACATCACAAAAACAAACTCAAGTAAATGCTGTTTTTGTTGTTTTTGTTCAGGATCGATGCAAACACCAGACATCACAAAAACAAACTCAAGTCTATGCTGTTTTTGTTGTTATGTTCAGGATCGATGCAAACACCAGACATCACAAAAACAAACTCAAGTCTATGCTGTTTTTGTTGTTATGTTCAGGATCGATGCAAACACCAGACATCACAAAAACAAACTCAAGTAAATGCTGTTTTTGTTGTTTTTGTTCAGGATCGATGCAAACACCAGACATCACAAAAATAAACTCAATTAAATGCTGTTTTTGTTTTTTTTGTTCAGGATCGATGTAAACACCAGACATCACAAAAACAAACTCAATTAAATGCTGTTTTTGTTGTTTTTGTTCAGGATCGATGTAAACACCAGACATCACAAAAACAAACTCAATTAAATGCTGTTTTTGTTGTTTTTGTTCAGGATCGATGCAAACACCAGACATCACAAAAACAAACTCAAGTCTATGCTGGTTTTGTTGTTATGTTCAGGATCGATGCAAACACCAGACATCACAAAAACAAACTCAAGTCTATGCTGGTTTTGTTGTTTTTGTTCAGGATCGATGCAAACACCAGACATCACAAAAACAAACTCAAGTCTATGCTG